GGAGGCACGGCGGGGGCAGCAGAGCCTGCAGGAGGGGCATGCCTCACAGTCCCTTACACCTGGCCCTGCCTTGAGATAGGCAGCAGGCGGCCTCCTAATGCCATCAGTACATCCTGCGCCGCACTCCCCCTCCTCACTCGCCTCGCACCCCCTCTGACAGCCCCCTCCTACCCAACCATTAGACCTGGGGGCCTCACAACAATCTGAAATCAGTACAGTAGTATCGTTATTTCACAGAACTACGCCGTTATAATTAAGCTGTGAACGTAGCCGATTTAATTCTGATTTTTGTTCCTTAGGGTTTGTGAGGGCGCAGCGCAGAGCGGAGGTAATCTTCGCATTATCCGCGGCCCGGTCGCGCTGGGGGCTCCAGCCTGGAGGGGTCAGGAGGCCCGGCGGGCGCGAGTTTAGCAACGCGGGCGTTACGGCCCGGCGGGGGCCGCCGGGGGCGGGCGGGGGCGGCCTGACGGAAGGGAACAAGTGCGTAACAGACCCGCCCCCCCTCCCACCCCCTGGGCCTAGAGCGGAGAGCATTTTTCACACGCCGCAAAATGGCGCATTTCGCTTTATTTTTGCGAAACAGAGAAAAAGGTAGGCTGCTGCTCGGTCCGTGACAGCAGCAGGCGCGGCCTGCCGGCACGGCAGAGCGGGGCGAGGCGGGGCGGCGGTCGAAAGGCCCTTGCTCCCTGCCCTCCCGGGCTCGAGCGCAGCGGGCGCAGCAGCTATCAACACGCTGATCCCGATGCAACAAAAGTCATCAGCGCGAGGGCCTGCCCGGCTGATTCCCCTTTGTTTCACGCCCTTGTTCGCCCGCTGAGCCTTTGTTCGCCCAAACAGAAACGCCTCATTTGGAAAGGGCAGCTACACTGCGGGCGATGCCTGACGGGAGGCAGGTGAGGTAGGTGAGGCAGGAGCGCTCGCAGCCGGGCGGCGCCAGCGTGTATGGCCCCGGGGGGAGACTGACGGCATCCTCCCCTCGATAAGGCTGCCGGTGGGAGTGTGGGGTGAAAGGGGGGGGGGCGTGGCCCAACTCCGCGCCCTCGGTGGATCCTGTGCCCTGTTGAGAGTCCTGGCGGGATTCCTGGCAAAGGTTCCTGGTGGGATCCTGGCTGAGGCTCCTGGTGGGGTCCTGGCTGAGGCTCCTGATGGGATCCTGGGTCCTGGTAGGATCCTGACTGAGGCTTCCAGCGGGGTCCTGGCTGAGGCTCCTGGTGGGGTCCTGGCCGAGGCTCCTGGTGGGGTCCTGGTCCTGGCTGAGGCTCCTGGTGGGATCCTGGCAGGATCCTGACTGAGGCTCTCGGCGGGTTCCTGGCTGAGGGCTGAGGCTCCTGGTGGGATCCCTGCGGAGACTCTCGGGTCCCTGGCGCGGCGTCCTGCGGCCAGCGGCCCTGGCGGGGCCCCTGCGGGCGGCGAGGCCTTGGCGAGTCCTTGATGGGGCCTTGATGATGAGGGGCCTCCAGGTACAACGCTACGCCCCGCCCCGCCACGCTTCGCGACGTGGGACCACAACGTCCTACACTTGCCCTTGGCGGGCATACCGGCGGGGTCCCCCCCCCCTCCCCCCTTTTCCCCGGTGGGTCTTCCTCGTCTCTCGGCCACCGCAGCGACCATGACGTCGTCGTGTGGGTTCTTCTGCCTCCCCCGCGTCCACCACCTTCCACACAAGTCCACGCCAACCGCGACAGTCACCACCGCGTCCCCCTGCTGCTGCTCGCTCCAGGCCGGGCCGGGCCGGGCCGGGCCGCAGCAGCAGCCGCACGGACGAAAAGGAAAGTGCGTGCGGGCAAGCTAATTCGGCAGACTCATTCATTCCACCGACAGATGGCGTGGTTGGCGAGCAGCGAACTGGCGGCGGCCAAGAGGCTCCCGCGCTGCCGGGTCCACGAGAGGAGGGAGGAGGGGAGGCCTCTTTCCAACCGGAAAGAGAGGCGCGAAAATAAACGCGATGCGGCGAGCTGGAGCGGGCGGCGGCGCCGCAGGTGCGACCGGAGACCGGAGGTCGAAGGGAATCAATCGCACCGCGGAGCTACCGATCGACCGACGCCCGCCCCACCGTCGTCGTCCCGATCTGATCGAACGAGATCAGTAGCGAAAGTCCTTGCAGCCAGAGGCACGCGGCCTGCATACGCGATACACACTCCAACGGGCCCGCTGATGGAGACTTAAGAAAATCTCACAGCCACAGAGCAGCCGGGCAGCAGCAGGAGAGCAGGGTGAGAAGTATGTGCGGTACGGGAAGCGAACGGAGGCGTCCGCGGAGGTGAGAGCGAGCATGAGCGATGAGAAGGGGGGCAAGCGAGAGGCGGGCCAGCGATCCCTCGCACGCAGCCCCCATCGAGTGTCCGCTGAACGGCGGCAATCCATCTGGCGGTGGCTGGCCCTGTGGCCTGCGCGGCCCGGGCATACGAAATGAGCATCAGCCTCCCTGACTGATAGCATCAGACTGACCCGCAGCAGCAGCAGGACTGCCCAAGGCGGCCCACCCGGCCCGGGCTGCACGGCGGCCTAAACGATCAGATGGACATGAATAAATCATTTTCTTTTTCTGCCAAAGTGAAATTTCCCTGGGCCAAAAATAAAGGTTGGGAAGAAAATAAGAGCGGGTTGAAATATGGACGGGCGTGGAAAAGAAGATGGAGGTGAAGCGAGTTGCAAAGGCAAGCAATTACGGGATAGGCCTATGACCGAGCGGAAGGCAGGCGCGCGCGTGAAAAATGTAGGTCCCGACGAGAGCGTGCCGAGTGTCGAGGTCTCGTACTGATAAAGAGTCCCTAAAAAAGATCTCCGCCGTCTCCGGTGCTAAAGCCAAGGCGGCACACTTAGTTTTGTATGAGAATCTTCGAGGTCGCAAGTCGCAAGGAAGAGATGAAACGGGCGGGGGGCGATAGGGAAGGATAAGAGCAGAAAACAAGGTTAAGGAAGCAGCTGCAACGGATGAGAAGGCGTAGAGGAGCGGCTCAGCACCTCTTATACCAAATGGACGATTTGCCGTAACTCACTTCCGAATGTACGTATTGCACATCGGCTGCGTTGGGCCTCTCGCGCCTTACGTGACGAGGGCGTAGGCAACCTCCTGCACGAGTGTGGGGCGTGTTGCCTATACAGCCCCTTCCCAACTACGGTGCCTTAAGGGATCGTCCATAAACCACGTCCGTTTCTCTTAGATTCATTCTGCAGGTTACGGGAGCTCAGCGCCTGCGATACTCGGGGTAGGCCACCCCGCCGTACACGCCTGCACTGCAGGCAAATATTTGGCCTACCCACCAGGCGCCATGAGAGCTTGCAACCGGCTGAGCTCAAGGAGGGCAGGTTCGCAACGGAGAGTGCCGGACGTACTGACGACATGAACCCATCATAGGCGGTTTGCCTACTCGCTCGGCGCGTAAGGCGGCCATGGCCCGTCGGACGACAGCAGTACAGGAACAGCCAAGTCCCCAGAAGCAGTACGAATGTGAATACACGGCATACGAATCAGCTACCTGGTATCTGAGTGTCCGGCTGGGCTGCAGTCCCAGCAGGCAGGCAGCCACACGCCACAGTCGATCCGATTGCATCTCTCTGCAATATCGGCAAGCCCCTTCTACCGGCTGCCCCCTCCCGCCGCCGCCGCCCTTCTCCATCGCGAGCCAACGGAACTTGTCGGTCGTGCGGGACGCGACACGATCGTCGACGCGCTACGCTACGCCCCGCCATCGGCGGCCCGGGAGCAGCAGCAGCAGCAGCGGGGGGCCCCGCCGCCGCCGCGCCCGCCGGCCGTGGCGGGCGGAGGGCTGGCTGGCGCGGCGGGGCGAGGCGGTGCGGGGCGTGCTGTAGTTCCTCCGGTTGCTTGCAGCTCTGTCCGTCCGTCACTCAGTCCGTCCGGTCCGCAGCAGCAGTCTGCACACACCGCGCGCAGTCCGTCGGTCGCCGGTGCGACGCCGTCACCGTCGGCGTCTTCGCGAAATTTCACCGTGTCGCCGCCAGAGCGCGTCGCCCCCGCTGTCCTGCTCGCCGATCCTTTCTCGCGCGCGTCCCTCCGCGCCGCGTCCCTCTCGAGTGCTCCGCGAGTTTTACGACCGAGCAAGCGTGCTTCCGGTGCGCGAGTAGTGAGCGAGTGGAAGTGAATAAGTGAACTCTGTGCGAAAAGTCTGAGTGATAGTGAACGCATATGATGGTGTAGTACTACTCACTGCCCATCCGACAAGAGTTGCGAACCCAGTCGCAGACAACGGCAAACCCGGTGTGCGCGGGCTGCAAAAGCCAAAGCAGGTGAAATAAAAGAAAAAGGCAAGAAAAAAAGTGCATCGCGGACGGATAACTTGCGGGTCACGCACCTCACAGCTGCTGTCACGCCGCGCCGCTACAAGCCCCGCTACGCCCCGCGGGGAACAACAGGTGAGCGGCGGCGCTCCGGCGGAGCTCTCCAGCGGCGCTCCAGAGAGGCCAGGCAGGCTCCGGGGGGGCCTCCGTAGGTCCGGGCACCGACCAACAGCAGAAACCAAAACTATTGTCGATAGGACATCTGCTCGGACGTGGACATTTTTGGGCTCTGGAGGAAAAGCAAAACTGAGAGAAGAGGTGGGGTTAGGCTTCAACAGCAAACGGGCAAGACACAATTCCAAGCACTAGAGTAGAATAATAGGTACAGTAAACGACCCTACATCGCTAAAGTTAAAACAGATAGCATTCAACTTGCGTATATGTGCAGCGATTTCTCAACTTTGTCCCTGCACTTTTGATGAAATATGCTCACATAGAAAATCAAAACGCCACATTCATTCAAGAATCTAATTAATTTTCATAATTATTACTTTTGAGCTATTACTTAAATAATTTAATGAACAACCAATGTATCCTTAAAGTAGCAACTGCTGCCGCTGGCGTAAACCTGAACCTGAAAGCGTCAGTCGGTGCACATTAAAGGACGTTCAACACGGCTCTCACAAAACGCCGGACTCGGTATCCCCAGAAAGGCAGACAGACGCGGGCTTAAAGGGAACCTCCAGCAAACTTCCTTTTTACTTTAGCCTTTCGCTTCTTTCCGCTCGTGGGAAGTAGGTGGCTCGAGGCAGGCAGGTTGAGCCCCGCCGGGCCTGCCGGGCGGCACGGCAGTGCCATCACCTGGTTAATTAGACCCATTCCGCCCCATTTAGTATATACAACGCGCCCGGCCCAAGTAAGTGGGCTGAAAATAAAACGCTGCGTTTTTTTTGAAAGCGATGCATTATGATGCCATTATGCACCGACGACGTCGTCGTGTCGTGCCCGCCGGGTAGTGTCCGGCGGAGGAGTGACCCCGCACGGTATAATGAGACCCGGCTGGCTCGTACTTACCCGGGCCAAACGCCTCCCGGAAGGCGTTCGGCTGCGGCAGTGGGTCAGCAGCGGCGGGAGGCAAACGCATGATGCAGAGAAACGAGAGATAGCAAAGAGGCCGCGCCGGTGCTTTTGCTTCTTGTTTCCAGTTCTCGGAAACCAAATGAAACGGCTTCATATTGTGATTGTGGGCCCCGCCCTGCACCGCTCTGCCCCGCCCCCGCTGCCTCGTCGTAGACAACCACTTGGGGGGCGGCGGCGGCAGCAGCGAGTTCACACGCCTTACCCGCCGCAGAAGAGCCAGCCCGGCGGCGGGAGGGGAAGGCATGCAAAGTGAAAAGCGGACAAAGAAAACACGTTATTATTCGCATAGTTTGTACAGTCGAAAGGGCAAGTCGTGTGTGTGTGTGTGTGTGTGTGTGTGGAGAGTGCTGCGCTGTGACGGGCATCTGGGTGCCCGGTGCCCCGGCGGCCCCTCCCCCTCCTCGTTTTGGGAAAGTGATCGCGCATAGAAGCAGGCAGCAGTAGCTGCTAGCCCCCAATCCCTTGCAGACAGGCAGTCTAGCAGAACCGAGCGCCAGGGGGGGTCTCCCGCCAACGGGCACGCTTGGTGTGCCTCTACTTGTGCCCCACCGTCTATTTACACAGCAATATACAGCAAGGGGACCATCATTTACAATTTCTGGCTGCCAACCTCCACAATGGACCATTTATACTGGGCGCGCTTCGCGCCGGGGGGAAGCGAAATCCGACGACCGTTACCGATTTGACGTTTAATTCTTGTTGCATCAACAGCTCTCGCAGGCGGAGGTAGTAGCCTCTGGGAAGGAGGCGGGGAAGAGTGAGAAGAGGTTAGAGGGAGGGGGGTTGGGGGCAGAAGGGATAGGACGGTTTATGGCACTCCTGAAATGGCACATAAAATATTACGAGGCCAATCGGCCGGCTATTCGGTCTCACACGGCGCGCGGGCACAGGGCGAGAG